TGGAATGCGGTCAAGCGACTGTTTTTTACAAGCGTCCAATTTGAATTCTCGAGTTTTCAACTTTCAAAATTAAATATTCTTTTACGTATATTTAGAAATATATATTATATTATAATTTATTTTATAAATATTTTTCTTAGAGAGAATAAAAAGCCATTCAAAATAAAAATGAAAATTTGTAATAATGAATCTTATAATATGTTTTAAGTCATTTTTTGCCATTAACACGTACTTTGCATTTATTTTTAGGAACTATTAAAAAATGTCAGCAAAAGCAATTCGTGAAGCAACTGGAAAAGATCTCATTAATCGCAAACTTCCTCCTGGTACAAATGCAGTAAAATGTCGGTTTGTGAGCATCACAGAAAACACAAATTGGGCAGATGTTGTGAATGAATATCCATGGGTTCAAACTGAAAAATTGGTGGTAAAACCAGATCAATTGATCAAACGACGAGGAAAGCTTGGATTAATTAAAGTTAATGTTGATTTGATTATGGCGAAACAATGGATTGCAGAAAGAATGAATAAAGATCAGCAAGTGGGAAAAACAACTGGAAAATTGAGAACATTTATTATTGAGCCTTTTATTCCTCATAAACAAGTAAACATTAATTATTCTTAGAAAAGAAAGACATAATTAAAAAACTAGCTAATTGGATTTTCATTTATAGGAAGAAGAAGCCTATGTTTGTATCTATTCTCATAGAAAAGCAGATACTATTTTATTCCATCATGAAGGTGGTGTTGATATCGGAGATGTTGATGCAAAGGCTTTGAAGTTAGAAGTACCTGTTGGAGAAGAGGCACCAGATCTGTCTACTATAATCAAGAAATTGTTAATACACGTAAAAGATAATAGAAAAGAGTAAGAATGTATCCAAACACATTATCTTCTCATTTTGCATACACTTCTTAGTAATAAATGTTGATATTTTCTTTTTCAGAATGATTGGCAAATTTGTAGAATCTCTATATAAGCTTTATGTTAATTTATATTTCACTTACTTAGAAATAAATCCATTGGTGGTAACAGAAAATGGAATTTATATACTTGATCTTGCTGCAAAGTTGGATACGACCGCGGATTTCATCTGTAGACCTGATTGGGGAGAGATTGATTATCCACCACCATTTGGAAGAGATGCCTATCTAGAGGAGGCCTATATCGCCGACTTAGATTCTAAATCTGGAGCTAGTTTAAAATTGACTATTCTCAATCCAGCTGGTCGGATATGGACAATGGTCGCTGGCGGTGGTTAGTAGAAGTGCACAGTAATGTCATTTACGTGATTAATTGAGTTCATTTTAATCAAATTGTGATTGTCAAATTATTTGTCTTACCTCAACAAAAGTTTGTCGTTTTTGGTTGCAGTTTCCATTTTTGTTATATTTTTTTCAGGTGCATCTGTGATATATTCAGATACCATTTGCGATTTGGGAGCTGCAAATGAATTAGCTAATTATGGAGAATATTCTGGCGCACCTAGCGAACAGCAAACTTACGAGTATGCAAAAACCATTTTAAGCTTGATGACGAAAGAAAAACGGCAAGAGGGAAAAGTATTGATCATTGGTGGTGGTATTGCTAACTTTACAAATGTCGCTGCTACTTTCAAAGGTATTGTAAAGGCACTACAAGAATATCAACCTAAACTCGTGGATCACAATATAAAAATATTTGTAAGACGAGCGGGGCCTAATTATCAAGAAGGTTTAAGGTATAAGTATATTTAAATAATTAATTTTAATTATTATATTTCAAAAATTAATATCATATTTAATTTCAAAAATTAATTTTGAATTTTAGAATTATACGTGAAGTTGGTAAAAGGCTTGGTATTCCTGTTTACATATTCGGCCCAGAAACTCATATGACAGCTATATGCGCAATGGCCTTAGGCAAAAAACCAATTCCGGACCCTGAAGCTCAGGAATTTTCGACTGCAAACTTTTTATTACCCTCGGGACAAGATGTGGGTCCTTCAGTTTCTTCTGCGAGTGCTTCTTCTTCGCCTGCCAAACAATCAAAATTAAAAACAAGCGATTCTCTTGACGGAGAGAGATTACACAAACAACTTTTCAGTAGTAAAACCAGAGCCATCATTTGGGGAATGCAAACTAGAGCTGTTCAAAGTATGTTAGACTTTGACTTCGTTTGCCGTAGGTCTGAACCATCTGTAGCTGCTATTGTATATCCTTTTACGGGAGATCATAAACAAAAGTTTTACTGGGGTCACAAGGAGGTAAAATTTGAAAAATTATTTTTATATTATTCAACAAAAATTTGTTGAAAGTATAATACAGTTTCTTTTTTAATGATAGGTACTTATTCCTGTGTATAAACAAATGAGAGATGCTATGACTAAACATACAGATGCAGACGTTATGGTTACATTTGCTTCTTTGAGATCTGCATACGAAAGTGCAGTGGAAACCATGCAATTCCCTCAAATCCGGACAATTGCTATTATTGCCGAGGGAATACCCGAAAATATGACGAGAAAATTAATTTTAATGGCGCAACAAAAAGGTGTTACGATCATTGGTCCAGCCACCGTTGGAGGTCTTAAGCCTGGCTGTTTTAAAATCGGTAACACCGGTGGCATGATGGACAATATTCTTCATAGTAAACTTTACCGACCTGGCAGGTACTTCTGTCATACATTGTAAAATGCTTTTTTTTTACATCTTCTTTTATGTTAAGGAATTATTATTTTTAGCGTTGCATATGTTTCTCGTTCTGGAGGTATGTCTAACGAATTAAATAATATAATTTCTAAAGCTTCCAACGGAGTGTTGGAAGGTGTTGCAATTGGTGGAGATCGCTATCCAGGCACAACTTTTATGGATCACATTATGCGTTATCAAGAAAATCCGGAAGTAAAGCTTATAGTACTTCTTGGTGAAGTCGGTGGTGTGGAAGAGTACGAAGTATGTCAGTCGCTGAAAACGAAGAAAATTACGAAGCCATTGATTGCCTGGTGCATTGGTACTTGTGCTAGTATGTTTAATTCTGAAGTACAATTTGGTCATGCTGGATCTATTGCTCATAGCAATTTGGAAACTGCTTCTGCTAAAAATGCTGCATTAAAAGAAGCTGGTGCTTTTGTTCCTGACAGTTTTGATACTCTAGGCGATTTAATGCAAACTGTCTATAACGATCTTGTGAAAAAAGGAGCAATAGTGCCTGCACCGGAAGTTCCACCTCCCACTGTTCCTATGGACTACAGTTGGGCTAGAGTATATATAACTATTATATTATTAAATTACATTATATCATATGCATGCATGAGCATTTAATACAATCTAATTTTTTTTTTAGGAACTTGGTTTGATACGAAAACCAGCATCATTTATGACATCAATATGCGATGAACGTGGGCAAGAATTATTATATGCTGGAATGCCTGTAACAGAAGTTCTTAAACAGAATGTAGGAATTGGTGGAGTAGTTTCATTATTATGGTTCCAACGGTGCTTAGCCCCAATGTACTGCAAATTCCTTGAAATGTCTTTAATGTTAACGGCCGATCATGGACCTGCCGTGTCAGGAGCACATAATACTATTGTTTGTGCAAGAGCTGGTAAAGATTTAGTTAGTTCTCTAGTATCTGGTCTCCTGACTATCGTAAGTAAAATAAAGAAATTTTATGTTACGTTATTCATTTTTTTCATGTAAGAAATAATATTAATACCTTCCAAAATTTTTAATCACAGGGTGATCGTTTTGGTGGAGCATTGGATGGCGCAGCTCGTATGTTCTCTGAAGCATATGATGCTGGATTACATCCACAAGAATTTGTAAATAATACACGTAAGAAGGGTAAACTCATAATGGGTATTGGTCATCGTATAAAATCTATAAATAATCCAGACATGCGAGTGAAACTCATTAAAGAATATGTAATGGAGCACTTTCCTGCTAGACCATTGGTAGAATATGCACTAGAAGTTGAAAAAATAACTACGAGTAAAAAGCCTAATTTAATTTTGAACGTGGATGGTATAATTGCCTGTGCTTTCGTTGATATGTTGAGAAACAGTGGAAGCTTTACAAGAGAGGAAGCACAAGAATATATTGAAATTGGTGCTATAAATAGTTTATTTGTTCTTGGTAGAAGTATAGGTTTTATCGGTAAGTGTTTTTCGCTTAATACGATCTATTCGATTATACAATTATTTTAAGTTTATTATTTTATTATTGTAGGTCATTATATGGATCAAAAGAGATTGAAACAAGGTTTATACCGACATCCTTGGGATGATATTTCTTATGTATTGCCAGAACAATATAATTGAATTCATCTTCCATTTACATCGTTTATCGTGAAAGCATAATATAAATGTTATGTCTTTATCTAAGAAAATTTAAATAGAATGGTCACATATGTGTTTTACTCATAAGTGTGAGAAATTAGAAAAAGTATCACATATGTTCGATTTGATATTAAATGTTGTAGTATCAACGCATAAAGTTATCGTATGATGAATTAGTTTTATTTATCGCTTGTCGAAGTTGTATTCGATAGAAATGCGATTGTAACATTAAACTGGTAGCAACTATCATTTAAACAAAATACATGAAACAGTAAAAATTAATCTTACAAATAAACATTCCATAAAGCATTTGTAATGTGGTCAGGAAACGGGACATAAATTAAAAATATTTTGTAATTACTAATTAATATGCAGTACGTTAGTATGTATAGTTATAATTCAAGGAAGAGAGCACAAAATATATAATGTTTTTTGATTTATGAAAAATATCAATATTATTTTATTTAGAAAATGTTATGTATTCATATACGTGTATGAATATGTGTGTGTATATATATGTGTATATATATATATATATACTATATATGTATATATATACTACATGTATATATATATGTATGTATATATAAATATTTGCTGTATATATATATATTTTACATACATATATGTATATGCTGCATTAACAATTTTTTGCACAAATTAACTTATTATATGTAAAATATGTAATAAATAAATACATATAATACTTAAGTATTTCTTTTTTTTACTATTTATCAATTAAATATTTTGCAAGGATTGTCTAAAAAGCACAGATAAGTTTAAGATAATGAATACACATTGCATACAATCATTAATAGGACTAAAAATAGAATAGACCGGACATTAAATGGGGCTTTGTGTCTCTTTGAAATACCGACCAGGTAAAATATCACTGGTTTTTTAGCGCACTCTGGGCTTAAACAACAGTGAATTGGAGAATACGTTAAACAAAATGGTACAAGTTGGTGAGGAAAATGATATCCGCACAGACGAGGTATATGAATAGACATTGCATTTTATGGATTTTCGTGGTCTATGACCTGAAATATCGACATACTAAAAAATCATTGGTTTTTTTAGCGCACTCTACGTTTTTAAACAATAGTAAGTTGGGGAACTAGTGAATGCGCCAGCAACACGATTTTTTAAACCGATTACAGTGTTGTTAAACTTTCAATACCGAAATGTAAAGCTAGTAACTGACTGAAATCATTCTATTGTATATCAGAAAGAGCTCTATCCAAGTTTTAGGGATTTATTACAATTTCTTCCAATATATAGTAAATTAAAACTATAAAATTGTTAATACATGGTTTGATGTATAAATGATTTATGTTGTATTAAACATTCTTAAATACAATTTTTAACTAACTAAATTTTTAACTATTTTAAATTATTGTTAATATTAAAATATCAAAATTATTATATTTCTTCATTTACATATTCCTTATGTATTCAAATTTATGTTAAATTTTTAACAATTTTATTATAACTATGTAGTGCATCGATTATGACAAATAACATAAATTCTATATTAGTTAAAAATTACGCTTATTAAAATATTCGAAATTGTTCTATAAACTCCTTTGCTTATCAATATTATGCTTATCAAAATTTTGTTATTTATTTAATATAAATCTTTAATATTTCATGAAGATTTTTAAATAATTTCCATATTTATGGAATATATTCTTACATATCTCGCAAAATCGACCAATGTTGAATGTATTTAAATTTGTTACAAAGGGCATTGTAGTGAAAATTATATTTTTGTAGCTCAAAGGATGGGAGGAAAACTTATACTTTACAATTCCTCAGAATTTTATTAGAACAAGATAGATTTTTCACGCAGTTTCTTAACGTAAAAATACGTATACCTTTCTCTGATTTGTATTTTAGTCCTTGACCGAACCTAAAGACGATTCATAACGTGACGAATTTCTAACAAAGTATTTAAAAAGTATTTAAAAGGACAGATTTCAGATTTCCTATTCAAAGCACGTTTGTTGAAGTGCATTTTAAGAAGATTTTGTCTAATGCTGTTCTATTGGTCAGGAAACGAAAATATAAAAAAATATAATATAATATAAAATATAAAAAAATATAATATTTTAAATTTAAAATCAGGAAAAGGATTTTTAATAAACAATTTTTAATTTTTTTAAATTTCTTTTATTATTTTTAATAAAATTTCTTATTTCTTGAAATATAAATTTATTATATATATTATAAGTATAAACTTATTATATATATTATAGAACAGTATAACAAATAAATAAATAATACAGATTTTCTTATTTTTAAAATGTTTTTTTTCATTTTGGGTGTTTACTAAATATCTAAGAACAATTCAACTCTTATTAATTAAAAAATAATTCACTTTTCGCTGTAATCATTGATAAAGTAAAATTTTCATAAATTATAACTAATTTTTCCAAAATAATATCGAAATGAATTTAAACGAATATTGAGCGAATTTTAACAAAAGAAATAGAAAAAATGATACTATGTTTTATTTATGTGTAACATGCCTTTCTTTCATCTCTCTCTCTCTCTCTCTCCTATTATTTCATAACGCAGCGATAATGAATGAAAGAACAGAAATAAAATTATTGACAATGAATGAAATAATAGAATAACACATCTACGTCATCAATAATACGTCCTATTGGCTTTAAAATTTATTATTGTACTTTTGTAACTGTTTCTAAGTGCAATATTTATATTTCTATCACGAAAATTTGTCGAAAATTGAATTAACATTGAACAAATTATATTTACGAAAAGCGACAATATTATTTGTGAGACTTTGTCATTTGATTTTTTCATATTCAATATAACGAATATGAGAATTTAAAAAAATTATTTTTGTTTCATTTAATTCAAATATGAAATAAGCATTTTCTTGGAAATCAAAAATATGAATCAAGTTATTTTTGATATTGTTTAAATGGTTATATTCAATTCTATTTAAATTTTATTTAAATAAAAATTATACTTTTAATTATTACTGATTATTACTGATTACTTCAATTATTACGGACGAGTTTTGTAAGAAATAATTTACAACACATAATGTGTTTCTTTATTGCAAACAATATTTGTAGAAATATTTTATTGATAAGTTAAATCTTTCATAAAATCGAGTTTACAGAATAAAGATAATTTATTCAAGCTGTGAATTTACACAAGCTGTTGTTCATAGAAGTATTATATTATTCAATAAATTTTTTTCTAATTTTCTAAAAGTATTAAAATATAAAAAATATAGTGAAATATATATTAAATTTTTCATCTCAATTTTCATCAATCTCTGTTTAAAATCGTTATATTCCTTCAGTGATGAAGTACCACTACGTTTAATGCAATGAATAATTCTCGAAATAAACTGGCAACACTATCCATATTTTTTGATTTTCGCGTTACAAAGCTTGCCTCAATCGGTACGACAGAATGTGACAATGGTAAGTGGGATGACGCACTTTTCAATCGTTGCCTGAAAAAACACATTGCATGCTAGGTCTATTCATATACCTCGTCTATGGCTAAGTCTATTCGTACAGCTCGTCTGTGCTTCTGATTTTAATTCTTACTACTAGCAGTGCTGCGGTGCAAAACTTGACTGAATCGGTACGATAGGATGTGATACAAAAATGGTAATGCGGTCCCACAACCGTGTCACGCGATTGTGATAAGGCCCTTATCATTTCCATTTCCGGTTAGCGATCGAATAACCATAACTGGCCAGCTAGTAATATGACCAACGTTGATTGTAATAAGATCCAGCAATCAGATAACGATAAATGGAATGCGATCATTGTACCTCCCACGTCGGTACCAAACACTGT